AAGAGTTGGCGGTGAGCGGTGATGACTAGCTGCCTTCCCTCTAGTCTTACACTGCTAAATTAGGGACGGGTAGTGCAGACATCCCTTGTGTGGTTTTGCGCGAAATTCAAACCACACAACAGAAATCACATTTCGTTTCGCGGTAATGACTAGCTGCCTTCCCTCTTGTCTTACACTGCTAAATTAGGGACGGGTAGTGCAGACATCCCTCGTGTGGTTTTGCGCGAAATTCAAACCACACAACAGAAATCACATTTCGTTTCGCGGTAATGACTAGCTGCCTCCCCTCTTGTCTTACACTGCTAAATTAGGGACGGGTAGCGCAAACATCCCTCGTGTGGTTTTGCGCGAAATTCAAACCACACAACAGAAATTACATTTCGTTTCGCATACATTCAGCTTAAAACGCTCTACTTTTCATAAGTCCTAGCACCATATTCATCATCTAGAGTTGCGCGATCTCTCTTGTCAATTATTGTTTATCCACAGATAAATCAAATCTCAGAATTATAACACGTATTCATACGTAAGTCAGTGGTATCGTCTATCTTGTAAATTCATTTAATCTTTCTGAACCTATTTACGGGTTGTTATACAGAAAGAATGGAAAAAAAAAACATAGAAAAGTTTCTCTAACTCTTATTATTGAAAACTGGTTATTTTAATACCTTCTTTGATTTTTCTTACGTGGTAAAAATTCGCATAATGACAGGAGCCTATTCATCATTTATTTTCTGCTGCTTTGTAGAATAATGTAATGAAGATCAACACAAGTACATTTCTCTCCAGAAATAAGAGATAATGCATTCCTTACAAACTATGTAACACAATCAATTATGCGTGACTTTATTTATCCTACTTATGTAAACAGGGCACACCAAAGATCCGCCTAACAAGCCTTCGAATTCTCCATTTTTAACAAATTTGTTTCGCGAAAGAGCGTCACCTTGTTCATATGCAATCCACTGAGACGCCATCTTTCGCAAACGATGTAATGAACTTAAGTATTATTGATTTCCCTAGCGTATTAATCATATACGTCAAGCTTTTTCCCCTGTGTTTACTTAAGTGGCGGTAACTCAATTAAGCAAACTAGGATTGTTTGTTTCCTCAATGGACAAACAGCTTTAAGATAATATAAAATTGAGTCGTATAGATGATAAGAAACGAGCTTAAAAATATTATTTATTTATTGTTTCTGTTTTACATGTAAGATTTTCGACTAAAAACTAATTTATTTACTAATTAAGTATCCCTATTCTTAAATTAAACTTGATTTCCCAAAGCTGGAAAATATGTTTTAACCTCACAACAGAATCTGTTTTTCTATTCGCAATGCCAGTGTTAAAACTGACATAGAATGAAATATATATACATCTCAACTAATATGATCCCTTGGTTACCTAAAATATCCACCAGTAAATATTGAAATTCGTATTAAAAGGATTTGTTCCACTGCAAAAAGCGGATCGTCAAAACGTTGTCAAGTTTTTCCTATAAAAGAACAATATATATATATAGAATATTTGATCTAAAATATAAGAGCTAAAACTAGATATCCAAAAAGCTCATTCGAATAAGGTTCTTATTTTATTTCTCCAAATGTATGATGGAAATCAGACATACGTCAAACTTAAAGTAAAAAAACAATACCTTCAGGGTATTGTCATCAGACAGTATATGCATATCATAGTAACGATTTAGATTTGAAATGAACATCGTTGGTGGTAGAATGCAGTCTCTTGGAATGGTACATAATAAATGAAAATGACTCCTTATCGCGAAATGGAACATTGAAACAACATTATAAAGAATTAATGTTATCAGCTAGATGTAAAACGACGTGCATAATAAAAGGTTTTCGCATTTATCAGTATTGTTTTATCACTACGTACCAACTTTAGTGTGCATTTCTCGTCTTCGCAAGGATAACTAAATAAGTTAAACTCTGAATACAACATCCAAAACAGAAATATATCTGTAGCTGTTGTACTCTTTTATCATCTCTATTGTTATCTAAGTTGTTGTTTCAACTCCTATTACCTTATTACGGGGACCGTTTAGGAACACTCAAGCCTGATATAACCTCAAAATCAAGATAACACATTTCTATTTCAGTTTTCTTTTCTTTCTGTCATCCTAACAACCTAATAGGTATATGACATTATTGCTTTAAAAACATTCCATTCTTATTGCGCTAACCACCTATTGTGATGTGTTCTGTGCAACTTTAATGTCTTCCGGTGTGTCGACGGTAAGTCTGAATCAACTTTAATGTCTTCCGGTGTGTCAACGGTAAGTCTGAATCAATTTTACCCCCCCCCCCCGTGTGTCAGCGGTAAGTATGAGTCAGCCTTAATGCCTCCCGATGTGTAAGCGTTAAGTTTAAGGTTTTACAACGATATGATCCGAGGCTCGATTCCACGCGATGGACAGTGAACAACTAACACCAACTTTAATAATGGACGTTTATTTAAATAGAGCAAGAAAGAGTTAAGTAACGTCCAGAAACTAGATTAAATGTGAAAGCTGTTTCAAATGCATGGAAGGCAATAGAACACAACCACAGACCACACAGCCCCAATAATGAGACAGTGCCACCCCCTTTTATTACTAGGAATTAGAGGTTCCTGAGGTATCTTCGAAAGAGTTGAAGCAGCCACCAGGTATACTTTTCAATTGCTGAGATAAGTTTCCTTCCAAAATGTTGATGTCTTGAATGTTTACCAATAACAGCTTTAAGCCCCTCCTTTTAACAAGGCTTAAGAGTGTTTCTTCAGAGTTATAATTTGCATTATACATGTATGATAAGTTTCCCAGCTTTCTGTATGATTTACTGTTGTGACTTTCACTTATCTACCCAATAATTACTTTTCAATGGCTCTGGCTGAAGCTAGTTATCTTTAGCACGATTTTTTTTACAGTATGATAGCCTCTTTACGTAGTCGAACAAGACATTTGTGAAGGTTTTTATTCACGTTTTAATGCAGTGAATAAAGCAAACTAATGCTATAATGTTTCTGAATGGAGAATCACACACATACACACTGTTAATTTACAACTACAGTAACCAGAGTTAAATTAGCGAATGATGAAGAAAGAGCAAATAAAACATTGTCCTCCGCAGCACTCCGCTGTTTAACAATACTGTATAAAACTGGGAACTATAGCAGACGATAGCTGGAACAATATTGAGACCGAGACAAAAACCCAAGGTACAAGTGTACCAGACAATAAAGAAAGGATTTATTCTTAACTCTCACCAATCACACAAATATTGAAAAATGATCACTCTGTACTCCCATGAGAAAGTTTGGCAAACAATCTGAAATGGCCAACTTTTAAGATACTCTAGCCAAAATAGTTCAACGTGAACAGTCTAAAACTGACGATTACCCGGTATACCTTGGATTCGTGTGGTACTGGCAGCCAAATGTGGACACCTGCAACAGCTAAATCCTGGAAATAATAATAAATTAATTTTGAATATTTTATAAATTACGTTCTAAAAGAATACGTTTGATAGTTAGGATCATTACCACCTCTAGTTATATTCTATGTGTGCAAAAAATATAAGTAAAACATGGCAATGAAATATGCTATAATCTCAAACAGCTTTAAATTACTACAAATTTGGCTGAGGATTTCCTTCTTAATAGTTACTTTCTTGTTAGAAAATAGCTATTTTACCTTGTGGTAAATTGAACTATGGTGTAATTATTATAATTGCAACCCAGTTCATATTGTAAAGCAAAATAAAATAATTAATATCTAATGAAGGCTTAATAAGAGTCATTGCAAGGAGGAAATGAACCAATATTTAATGATAAGAAGAGATTACTTATGTACGAACACGAGAAACATCTCTGTTTGTAAGTTTTGACTCCACACTTTCGACAAACTTAATTTATTTATCAGGTTCGTTGATTTTATTTAGATCCTTCGAATAGAGGGCGCTGATTAACCATGTTATATTGTCCAGAGAGACTTTGTTTGTCCGTTTGTTTTTCTTAATTTCTTGGAGGGTTATCTGAACTAGTCATCCCTAACTTAGCAGTGATAGATTAAAAGGGAAGGCAGCTAGTCAACACCATCCACCGCCAACTCTTGGGCTACGCTTTTAATCCCTAACTTAGCAGTGATAGATTAAAAGGGAAGGCAGCTAGTCAACACCATCCACTGCCAACTCTTGGGCTACGCTTTTACCAACGAATATTGGGATTGAGCGTCACATCATAACGCCGTCACGGCTGAAAAAATGTGAAAGGAATTTGAACTCACGACTCTGAGAATGCGAGTCGAGCGCCTTAACGACCAGGCGAATGATCAGAAAAAAACTGTTTGTTAAGAACGTATGATTATAAATTTTTGTGTCCAATTTGAATAGGCTGATAATCTTCCCAATTTGGATTTACAATTTAAAATATTGTGTCCACTGTTCTGCATGATGAAAACAAAACAATGCTTGTTTAAGCTAAATAGCAAATCAAGAAACTATGCCATTTTTACTTTTGCAAATAACCTTGTGTAGATTCGAAATCATCAAGCCCTAACTT